TATATCTCATTTCCAAAAGCATAAAGCGCGGTCACTTAGTATCACCTTTAGCATGTTAGACGTGTCACATTCGGCAAATATATGCACTCGTTGTTTAGGTTTTTGAGATTACAAGGATCTACTGTTACAAAATCTTAACACTTATACTCGGTCTTCCTGTTGCGTTTCTCGCCGGATTTACCTTTGCTCTCTTCTCCTTCATACGTATATGGATAATCCAGGTTTGTGATATTTATCGAAATGTTTTGGGTGCGTTAACCACCGATATTTAGTTCCTTAGGTGTTTCAGAAAGTGTGCATCTACGGTGAAATCATTGAAAACTCGTGGGGTGGTTGTAATCCCCCAAATTTGTCGCAATAGGGATAAACCAAGCTCCTGACAACTCCGAACATGGCATGAGAATGTTACGAACATGACGTGCTCGAGCTTATGAACTCGTAACGTCTGGTTCTCTCCATTTCGTGCGCTATCTCACTCACGCCTGTAGCAATGTCACAACATCGCGAACCTCATAACATCTTTGCATCCTCCTAACAACGCGCCGATGTTGCGAGGTGTTCGCACCGCGTCAGGCTCGCGTGTTGAGAGATACGGCATAGTGTGAGATTGCTGGATATGGCGCGAACCAAGCTCGTCACATAATGCACTCTTGATTTCGTACCATACAGGGAGTTTACTACCGCCCGTAGTGTCAACGGTATAGTTGAAGGACAAAACAAAACTCAAATTTCCAGTTTTTTTACCTCTGATCATTACGGTCTAATTGAAATGCAAGAGAGAAATCATTTAAATCGAGAAAGTATACAGCTTTGAGCAGCTTTAAGCCAATATTGATTTTGTATTTCAACCAGACCGTAAAGGTTAGAGGTCAAAAACTGGAAATTTAAGTTTTGTTTTGTATACAGTATACAGTTTGCTACACACATGATCACCTCGAGTTTTACTTCAAACGCGATGGACGGCAGAGCAATAATAGTTTTCGATGTGCTGACGAGAGAAAACCAGAGAATCTTTTTCGTTCAAAATAATTTACATGTAATCGACGAAAGTGAC